GGCAAAAAGTTGAGTTGTGAGATTTTTTTTTAATCTAAGGATAAAGGTGAAACAGCTCTTAGGAAAAAAAATCTTTAATATGTTATTAGCTATAAAAAATAGATTCCTTAGTGACGAAAGCCACAGCTGTACTGGCTAACAGACTTCTGATCCCTGCAATACAGCTGGAATGGTAAGTTCTGCTGTTTGATTTAGTATGACCATATAAGGTAATTTTCAAGCTTTTTCTTTTTGGAATTTGCAATTAAACAAAACACCACAAGTGGTGACCATGCTGTCAGTGATAGGGAATTGGGTAAGAGAACGGTCACAAAAACCAACTTTGACCTGTTCACAGTCAAAGCTATGAAAATCGTTTTAATGCTTTTCTGTTCAGAGAAGGAATGTTACAAAAAACCAAACATATGTTTCAAGATGTATTAACCTATACTGACTTCCTAAATATAAGTAGTCTGGTAGTAACTGACTTTACTTTTTGTCTAATAGCTGTCTTTCAGTGGTGAAGACTAAGCCCATTTTTCACGTAGTCTTTTGTCTTATATTTCACTTATCTATTTTATCTGTAATGTTTTTACATGCATGTGATCAGCTGATGCCTGTTATCTTCCTATTTCAGCACCTCTCGGTGACTTATTACAAACATAGTAATAAAATAATAAGTATATAAACAATGACACTCTTGTACCAGAGGTAGTTTGAGATATAAACTACATGTGAACTTATTCTCATGTGAAGGAATAGCTTTATTGATCATGGTCTAATGCTTTTCACTAAGGCTCTTGAAATACTTCAGTTAGTAATCTCAGTAATTTAAGCAACTGCAAATGATGGAGAAAATGTCCTTCCACATAGTTTTTCTCTCTCTGTCCCCCCAACACACTCACACACACACACACGTATGTGAGAGGGAGGGGTTGCGATGAATGTTGCTGGCAATGTTGCTATGAGTATCTGACTTAAAAATCGCCAACAGCTCTTCTTGCTTTTTCACTAATTAGGATGAACCCAGGGATTGAGAATTTTTCATGCTCTTATCCCTGTCACCTTGCAAGTGTACACTTAATGCTATTTATTTTAATAAGAGGGAATAACAACACACAGAACGGTAAGAAAAAATGTTCATTTATGCTCTGTCTTAAAAAGTCACCTAGAATTACTTTGTCTGATCCTAAAAGTCTAAAAATAATTAAAAAATAAATTATTCGGTCCCTTCTTGGTCTTTAGAGAGGCAAAGGCACCTGTTTTGTCACCCTGAAAAGAAGGATAAGGAAGGATCCTTTTGTAGTCTTTTTACTACCTAATATAGAGAAGGTGGAGCCGACTCCTCTCAGATACATGCGGTGAAAGGGCAGAAAGCAGGAGGATGGGACAACTTAACCTTCTGTGATTGTATGAAATATCTCAAAAGAAAAATGGGGGCGTTAAGAAAGCACCTTATACTGTGTTTTGGCTTTCTCAAAGTCCTTACATTTCAACATAGACTTATGAAAAAGCTTTTGGAAGCTTTTTGGTAGTTGGGGAGAAGGTGATAGGGTGCAGCGTATGCAGTTAGTGGTATGAAGACGGGGTCGCGTATGGAAAAAGTCACTAATTATTCAATTTCCCTTGAAAGCCTCTGAAAGAAGATAACTTTGGTGTTTTAATTTGGCAGGAAGGTCTCAAGTAAGTTTCAGAACTTGAAAAATTGCTATAAAATGTTACTTTATAATAGTAACTGTCTCTAGGAGTAATGATGTGATGGCAGTTGAAGGCTGCTATGGGAATATATGTCCAGGTAACTTATTTCTTTGTTATGAATTAATGTTAAAGCATGCTACTTGGCTTGTAAAGATTTTTTTATTTGCCTGATTTGCTATGATTGAGAAAAAGGGACAGGTATTGAGTTCCAGAAGTCCTTTTCCAGTACCTGGGCACCTGGAAGTTTGTCAGTCTTTCCCATTTGTATTAGTTAGCTTAATAAAAAGTAAATGAAAAGGATTGCCTTCCTTTTAAGACTGCCTCTTGCTTAGTGCCACAGGCTGTCGCACTCGTAGCAGCGCTGCTGGGTTGTTGTGTGTTCCAATGCCAAAGACCAAATTAACTATGCGGACTCAGACATATCAAGCAGCATACTAGGTAACACATTTGCAAAAGCAAAATTAATTGATACCTGGACATCAATTCTTTTAAAATGACCATTCTCAGTAAAGTTTTGAAAAGAAAGTATTTGAGCAAAGGGGCAAATCTCCTGCAAGCAGTCTTTCTTTGTTGGGGAACACGACCTCCCTGCAGAGGGTTTTTGGTTGTACCTGGGAGCTGGGATCTGTGTCTCAAATGCTGTGCTGTACGTGAATAGCAACAGTAAATCTATGGCCAAAAGCAGCCAGTGTTTTAAATATCTAGCAAATGTTGCCAAATATTTATAATTGTTTACTATGTAGTAAAATAAAGTGTCATTTTATACTTTTTTTTTGGTGTAGAGTAGGATTAATATGTATTTTTGTGTGAAGATCTGCTACACTTTTACAGAAACAGTTACACTGAAGTTTTGCATTTAGCTTGCTTTGTATAGTATGCTATACTTTATAGATCTAAAATTCACATTACAGTGTAAAAATTTTTTTCCAGCATTTTGTCACATTAGTTCATTATAAAGTCTGTCTATTGATGTAGTCAATGCAGCATGAAATTATATTTAAAGTATCAACTTATCATTTTAAGAAGTGGTTTTATATTGGAAAGAACATTTTACACTGTTTTTTGATATCTAATACCTTTAATGTTACTAAAATTATTTAATAAACAAAGGTATGTCTTTAGGAACACCTACTTTACTTTGGCAACTAGAATTCTAGAAATAAAGTAGTGCAAGTTAGGGAAACATAACTGAGATGAAGTTGAATGAGTATTAAGTGTAAGTAGCCTCTTCCAGTAGGATGCTGTTTTGTGACAAACCGTAAGTTGTCTACATTACTGCACAGAAAATATTTATGTCTGCGATTTTAAACTTTTTGCAGACTTCCGCTGCATCACTGCAAATAAGATAAAATACACTGTCTTCTTATTATATTTAATAATTTTGAAAATAATTAATTCCTATTATGTAGGATGTTTTGCATCAACACAATTGAAAGTACTCTTTTTGTAGAGTAAAGAGAAGATACTAGTTGTCAACATGGACGTCTAACTTCTGCTTCTGGCAAAGATTATAACGTAGAGTCAGAAGTTGGATGTGTTAAAAATGGATCTCACTGCATATATGCAGTTAAATGAGCAGCTCACAGAAAGAAATGGATTTAATTATTCCAACCTTCCTAGCTTTCCCAGTTAATTGGTTGCCTTAGTGAAGGTTTTGGGTTCTTCTGGGTTTTTTTCCCCGGTTATTTCAAAATATGTACTTGTGAATCCACAGAGAAAGTATGCAAACGTTAAATTTGATCAGATACACAATTTATTACTGGTTTTGGTCCAATCATAATGTTACTTGAACATTCAGTCTCTGTGAATGTCTGGGTTTGTAACTAGAAAATTCATGGATCTTCTGAGCAGTAAAATGTTATTGTCTAAATAAGATGGTGGATATATAACAATGTCTGTTTTCTAAACACATAAAAATGCTGTGGGCAGTGGACTAGTAAATTCAAACCTCAAGAAGATGAAGCTTTTCTGTCGGAAATGAGATTACCTTTGCTATGAATTCAGTTTTAACTCAGTAGTTACATCAGCAAGTTTGGGCGCAGTTGTCTCATACCAGTGAAGTGATCGGTCTGAATTGTGCTCGCTGTGCCCCCCTTTCCTCCCTGTCCTGCCCCAGTATTTGAAGAGTTGAAATACTGGAGATAGGGTCATTTAGGTGTTGTCTTCTTCCTGCTGTTTACATGCTTTTGGCCAAAATTTACTTAACGTGGTGATGTGCATCTTGCCTTGAAATGAATAACATTTGATTTTTAAAATATGTAGAAGAGATACCTACGAAGGAAAACACAACTCAGACAATAGCTGAAAGTAATAACATTTCTATGTCTTTCAGTAAAAACTGAGATTCATTCAACTTGAGATTCAATTAACTTGACATTCAATTTACACAAATTCTGTTTTACTCTAATACATACCTGTCAGTAACATTAAAACATATCTTTGTAGGTCTTGAGAAATTTGAGTCAAAGATAAGTATTTTGTATGGCTATAGCTGAAAAGTAAAACTGAATCGGTAGATAGGAAAACATAAATCAGTGCAATAAAGGACTTTGTGTTCTCTGTTCATGCAACCTTCCCCTCCTGTATGCCTTTTCCTGCTTTAGCCTGCATATTTACAGTTGTTTCATCATATACTTTCTCTTGGAAACTAATATAGTATATGTAACGGCTTGATGAGGATCAACATTTCTACTTAGTGATGAGTTTCAAATGAAATATGGAAATGCTTTTTTTTGTCAAAGCAGCCAGATTTCTTTGCTCAAGCCTGTTCGAGAGATTTCATGCCACACTTCCAAAAATGATGGAGGTACAGAGGGACAAGGGTGGGAAAAGCAGAAATCAGTACAATACCCAAGAATATTTAGGCTTTGCTAACATGTTTGCATCAGGCAAGGGGGAAGTCATCTCAGAGTTGTGATCTGCGGTGGAGTTTTCATGTTCCTTACTGTTTCTCAAAAAAATGGTTTCTTTGCTGTTCGAATGGTGCTGGTGTTTGCAAGAGTCACTGCTACTGCTCGGTGCTTTGTACCTGTATGTGCTCTGGAAGAAGATTGCTTGATGTCACACTTCAGTGACATCCTTCTTGTGGGCCCAGCTCTACTGCGTAGTCGGACTTTCCGAGTCCGCTGTCTGTTTAAGAGAAAGATAAGTTGATAAAAGGAACTAACAGTAAGGAAATCAACCTCCCAGTGAGAATAATGCCATAATAAATCTATTTCTGAACAGCTGGCCATGCATGAGTTTTGAACTTACCTGGATATTTGTAGCTGCAAAGCCCAGTGAAAAAACATGACTTACCTATGATATGTTATTTTGGTTTACAGGAAAAGGCTCAGTGCTTTCAGAAGGCTCTTGCTTCCCAAGCAGATAAATCCACGCAGACAGAACTCGTAGGCCACGATGTAAGTAGCTGTATCGAACAGTACTTTTTATCATCTTTGTGGGTGTTCAGGCTTCTGTCAGCTTGTTTGCCTCTGCTGCTGTTGTGTCCATGCATTGATTTAGTGGGATTTACAGGAACACCACTCATCCTTTGCTCTTAAATGTTTCTAAAATACCTTCTGAAACATGAGAAGATAATTACAACTACCTGCCAGCATTCCAATGCCCTATTCATTTTATGTTTTACAAAGAGCTGAGAATTAGCATAAGTGAATGTGGAGGGATATGTATTAGTGGATTGTGATTTTTCTTCAGTATTCATTTACACACTTATTGACAATTTAATGAGGTTATTATGTTTATAATTGCCATATGCTGTCCAAACAATATTTGACTTTTGGAAGATAATGGAATAAATACAATTTTGCCAAGTGATGTTAAAATTCTGTTTCCTGAAGAGCATCTGTCAGAATTTCTGCTGGAAGGTGAATTGATAGTATGTATCCTCATGCAAGAACATTGTCAAGGAATATTCCTTAGCTGTAGAAATATATTTTTTTCCACATTTTTTAAAAATGAAAGTATTCTGTCTGTGGGACATTGGTTGAATATGTGTAAGAGAGTCGCTTGTTTATATGAGCCTTCCTGAATAAGCTGTTGATTAAGAATGCCACAATGTGGAATATTTGGCACAGTTCTGTTCTGTGATTCGAGCAAAATCTAACAATACTTACCAAAGACAGTTCTCCAAAATAAGGCTGTGGTTCTGTGTTGGTGTATATCAACATGCTGCTTCAAGTTTATAAAAAGAACACTGGAATTAAAGCAGGTTTTGAAACCTTCCTTTCAGTATGTTTTAGTGGAGCATTAAAGTTTTGTTTTCTGAGTCTTCAGGTAGTCTTCTGAAGATAGAAACATAAAAATTTCATGTTTTAATCTGAAAAGTTCTTGAAGCAAACTACACTTTGGTGTTTTTCCAGACTGTCTTTTAAGCTGATTCAAGCCAGGAGTACTAACTTTTTTTTAAAAAGTAAAATACTTTGGACAAAAATGTAGTTATAATTATTATTTTTATAGGTATTACTTAATACTTGTGGGTTGTTTTTTTTTTTGAGTATTTTTTATTTAGGGCAAATAGGTACACTGAGTAAAGTACAGACTTATCTGCACTAATTTCTTGTTAGTGGATTGCCAGATATGAACCCTGATGTTCTACTGTGTCTGTGAAATAATGTCTGTTGGAATTTACTGAAACTGTGAGGTGTATATATTAATGGTGAAAACCCCATAATATTCAAAAATACTTGAAAACATTTTTGTATGTTGCAATGCTATATCCCTTTCTTCTGGGACTAATTATCCTTAACAGCTACTTTATTACATCTCAGATGTTAAATAGAAGTCTTTACTAAAAATGAGAATAAGCAATTTGTAGGGTTGCTGGGGAGGGTTTGTTTGTTTGTTTTTAAACAGATGTGATTTATGTATTTGGTTGTTCTCTCCCAAATCAAATATGTGTTATCTCATGCTGCAGAGATCCATGCTGTTAACGGATTTTTTTTTTTCCTTTTTCCAGTCTGTGTTCCCTTGCAGTTTTTGGGGGGAGGTCTTCTGTCAGTAAAGTAGATGATTGCTGATTCTGCAATAAATTAGACCCCCTTCCCCCAAACAGATACAGTTTTCTGGCTGAGGTCTGAGTATTAAAGATAATAATAGCAATAATTTTAAAAAATCCTTTTCTTTAGCAGCATTCTCTTCAACATTAGTGGAACACATTTTTCAACCTTCCCTGTTAAAATGCCTCTACCATGTCATGGTTGCAACCATATATTTTCTTACATAGGGTGATGTAATGCAAGAACAAAAGGAAATGTGGAATGTTTTTGTATGGAACAACACATCCACCTGTATTTATCTTGTACAGAGTACTTGTGAAAATTGCATTACAAGGAATTGATCACAGAGAAAGTTGAACTGATCTACAGGAATAAGACATGCTTACTGTGATCATCATGAAGGGAATTCAGTGAAGAAGAATATGCAAATAAATAGTATTAACACTTTTCGCAATATTGTTAAAAACTTTTGGTCACCTATTTATTAGGTTATGCAGCTTTTCTTCAAAGGATAGCTATTACAGGTGATGATAGGTTCAACTGTGTTTCTGCTGAAACCAAGTGGCAATTACATTTGTGTTCTTTGCTTTTACGTGAGATTTCAAAGAGCAAGTTGTAACCCTGGCAAGTAGTATCTGTACATCATTTTATTCAGGATATGCGTAAGTGTGTATAACTACAAGAATATTGTGCTAATGTGAAATTAGATTAAATAGAAAAACACAAAACAGATCAGAGAATGCAAGATACAATTTTCACCCCATTAGCCACACATTTTGAGAATAGCATACATTGAATACTTAAGATATCTAGTTTAAAGGTAAGCAGAAAATTTAAGTTCATTCATTCCATCATCACTACAGATTTGCTGCTGTAATTCCAAAAAAACCAAACAAAAGTAGTCACCTGTTTTATTTCTCCTTAATGCAACTTTAGAAGCTAACAATAGTCGGATAAAAGTGTTATCAGGAATTTGCGTTGCATTATTTCATCAACGTTGTACAAATATTGATATACACTTCAGAATGTAGTCTTTCAGAAATCCTTAAGTTAGTGCTTCTGTGAATAGTTTGTTTTATATTCTTTCATATTCTTTTGTTTCACTGTATAAACTTAATAGTTGCCTATTTTGCAGTGCAAAAAAAACTGAGACAGGTTAGCCTCCAGAAGAAAGCAATGCTCTGTTTTGTTTGACTTCTGGACAATGTCTCCAGTAGTTGAGAGACTATTCTTTAGCCTTGGAGTTCATTTAGATGCGTTGTCAAAAGTAAATGGAAGTTCTGACTGACTCAGAGTAGGAATGAATCCTTTCATCCATAGGGTGTACAGTAATGAAAAAAGGCTAGAGGCTAGTCTATATTCAGGAAGGAATGGGTGAAGAAGGAAGAAGGGCAATGTTTCTAAGCAAAGAAATGTTCTTGTCTCTGTGGAGCTGCTCTGAAAAAGTTTAAACGGTGTTGACTGAGTGTTTTGGGTAAGTATTTGAGAGGTTACCAGAATGGAAGTTAATATAGTGTATTTTATGTTAGCGGATATAACATAATTACAGTCAGATTCTGGCTGTCAAGGTGATCAGCAAAGTTTGGATCATGCAATCTCCTGCAGTATCTGTAAATTATTGGGTAATAGTTCTGATAGATTTCTCTGTTTTCTCCCATGCAGCACACTGAGATTTTTCAACTGAAATTGCTTTAGAGTACCATATTAGCAAGCAAGTGGAAGCTAAAGTCTGTAGCAGTAAAGATAATGTTTCTCATAAAAAAACTGAACTGGAAAGCACACTGCTTAATCTCTTGTCTGTATTAAAACGATCTAATATGAAACTTAATTATGGAATTAAAACATAAAGTTTAAAATAAGTTTTGATAAGGAGGAAAAAGGTCTTCCATGATGAGAAATGCTGCAGTTTGCTTAAGTGATTAACATGACCACTTTGCTACTTGACTAAACTGAAAGTAAAATATCAAGCCAGCTGCTGTGTGTATGCAAGGGAAGACATTAGAAAGCAATCCAGGTTTCTTAGAAAGCTAATTGCTTTCTACTGCAGAATGTCAAGGGGTCTCCACCTTGTGATAGTCCTAAATTTATTCTGTTTTCCAATATGTGTACTGAGAATCATTTAAAACACGTTGGAAGTCTTGCAGAAAGAGCCATGTGCGCAACAGATTGATGTGGGAGACTGCTAAATAATAAATGATTACTGTGTCTTAAATAATCAATGACAATTTAATCTCCTTCACCTTCCTTTGTTTGCAAAGCCTTATTTTATTGAGAGATCAAGGAATAGTTTCTTCCATGTTGATCAGGTTACTAAAACGGACCGGAAGATGAATAGATACAGTAAACTAGCATTGCGACTGTTAGAAGATCATGTTAAGCAATACAACTCTGGTTATGGCTGCTAGCTAAATAGGTAGTCCAAAGTATCACGCAGGCATCACACAAACACTCTGCAGCATGTGCCATTGCTAATGAGTTTTCAGTAAACTGTGTCTCAAAAGCAGAATTAAACAATCACAGTACAGTTCTCTATTTCTGTCACCAAAAGAAGTCCGACTCGGCACCGCTTTGTCAATCTTTATCAGTCTTTGGATGAAAAAAATTTGTACTTAATATTATTCTGCACGGAGTAGAAATACCTAAGAGCTGACGTGATTTCTACAATGTCTTTTCTGTGTTTGCCTTGTGCTGATATTATAGGTTTCACATCTCAGAACTGCTATTCTGTTTGTTCTTTGTCTTCCATACTGAGAGTAAAGCTGATGTAAACAGGCTTTGGACTGGTCCTTAACTCATTCCCCATTTAATGAGAATCCTTTCCAGTTTAGTGGTCCTTACGTTTTGTATTATGCTTCTAGAGTCTCAGACAACAAACTTGTGTGGTATTGCTCCCAATCTGCTTACTGTTTGATTTGCATAGCTACAAACAAAAATTGCCTTTCCTCGGCAGTCACCAGCTTTGCATTTACAACAGTGCTGGGTGATACACAAATAGGCACTGACTCTAAACACCTGTACTACCATGCAATATTAAACTTAATAGGTATCCATACTAATACATTTTCAGGTTATTTGTTTTGTAGCTTGCTGTACATTACCTTGGACAGCACGCCTCCGTTTCCCTCTCCAAGCCTGGGCACTGCTTTCTGCAGAGCCTCTGTGTTTCACTAGGAGGGAGCGGAAGACGTGGAGGTGGATGCTCTAACTATTCCCCTCCACCTCCTGTCTATGCTCCCCATCCTCCCTGGCAGCCAGCCAGCATGGTTTATGGATGCTGTGAGGAACCATGTTGCATTGTGTCCTCTACTTTAGGAAGGCAGGGGAACAGAATACTAAAGTACTTGAATTTCTTGAACTTTCCAGTTTAATCTAAATATATTCCTGCCCACAGTATTGCATAGTTTGTTTCAGTGTGAAATGAATTGTATTTTGCCACCTAAAACAGAAAATACATCCTGCTTCTGCCTCCCCCCCACCCCGCCTTGGAGACGGATGTCCACCTGCTATTGTATGTTACTACTAGATTATTTTTCTCCATTTATTTCTTATTTTCTCTCTGAGTTTGTTTTCTAATGTATACAGTGAAATAATGCAAACTCATGCCTAATATACCTTTTTCTAATGCAAAATTATTTTTAAAAAATAAGTACCTTTAGAAATCAAATAAACCGTTAGCCATTTCAGTCTTTGCTTTGCTTGTACTTCTGTGTACCTATTCATATCTGGATATCCAGGTTGTTCTTGGCATGGTAATTCCTTTCCCACAACTTCCTCTAGCAATCATTTTCTTTTCTTCTCATGTCCAATTTCCTTTTTTTAGTATACAGTTTCAAAATACCATTTCAAAATCTACGTGTGTTTTAGGATGTCCTACTTGTGCAAATTCTGTCAAACTTCTCATCCATTAATAGTGAAATTTATGGTGA